GTGTTTGTTAACAAAATGCACTACGCTAAAAGCTAGTGTAAAGATCTTTCGAGTGTTTTGAGTTTGAGAGAATGAAAGCTATGAGAGGATTAGAAAGCTATGAAAACTAACCAACGAGAGAGATCACAATCAAGGGATCGTAGATCTGAACTCCCGCGGGAGACTGTAAAGCGTGATAGAGTAGGTTGTGGTAGTAATCCTACTCGTTCCACGATCCAAAAACGGAACGCGTGGAAGATTCGTCTAGCATTTATCTAGTAGCGTGGAATCTCTCCACGCCAGCTAAATATCTAGCGCGATGTTTCACCATCGACCTAGTATGACTAGCAGTCATGAGAACCCTGTCTCAATGACTATTCACGAGAGACTCAGTCATGAGTCGAACTCAAACCCTATCTAGGATCGAGTCGCGAATAAGGCTAAGAGCCGTGTATTGCACTGATGGGTTCTCGCAACTATGACCCTAATCATGGTTGCCGAGAGGACCATCTCACAATTTGCAAAATTAATTCCCGCGCTCCTCACCTACAACTCAAGTACATCTCTACATCTCGCAGGTCATCACCTGCGTTCCGGAAATGGATACCCCACATGATGATGCACCGCATCAGCTCCTCAATGCCTCTCGAACAAGATTACCCTCCACATTTGGCAAGATCGACAGCGGCAACCATGAATCACTAAAGCCAGCGACCTAGCCAAGACCAGCCATTGAACTGCCGATCGCAAGAAGGTTGTCTCTCTCTCAGCTCACAAGTCTTCATTCAGCCGACGCTGAAGGCAAGAACCTAGATTAGATTAACCCACCTCTCCCTCCCTGGTTGCATGACTCAAGGCTGTCCCGTGGAACATCACATTCCCGGGACTCCCTTTTGCCGTGTGGGATCCATCCGGGACTCCCCAGTCCCGAATGGTACCGTACCTATGGTTAAGTTGTGTCATCCAAAAAAAAAGTTGTTCTTTCTTTGCCGGGATGGCTTCCCTTGACTGTCAGGACCACACTACAGTAGGCCGATTAGAAGGTTCACCAACTACAAATACCCATTCCAGCATCGCCAAGTGGTCACTTTGAGTTGAGTTGTCTATCATGTTAATGTACTTTTTGGGCAAAAAGTGAGGCTCGCCTCGCGTCCGAGTCATTTTTTGGCATTTCAATCCGAATTGGGATTGAAAAAGGCAAACCGTTTCTTTAAGTCACAGTCAGTCACATTTCTCAAGTAAAGTAACACGATAAATCCCCGTCAATCAACCAAGCACCATTTGACCACTGAAACAGCCATCCTTACGCAACCACAGCACCCGCTGACCAGTGAAAACAGATGCTTTCCCTCACAAGCAGTCCACCATCGAACTGGTGAGAGAGTCAGTCGCTCGCGGAAGCACCATGCCATCCCGTGTGCATGCCTCACAAATTCCTGGAAGATCCCATCGCGACGACCACCGACATGAAAGATCTTCCCGTGAAGCCCACAAACCACAAACCACCCACAGACTCAATATAACGACAACCAACCACACCCCACAAACACACAGTCACAATCCCTTTGTTGCATGCCTTGCAACACTCACTCTTACACCTCATCAGCAAGCTAGGAATCCAAAAATTGCAAGAGTTCAAAGGGAGTTAGAAATAAGACCATATAAAAGCAGTTCAAACAGCACAAACTCACCTTTCCATCCTCTTCCTCTGGAATGAAATTCGCATCATCAATCTCGTCCCCATTGTCGTCAAACTGAACCTCGTCTTGATCAACCAACAAGTCAATAACATTGCCGTCCCTGTCAAGCTCAAAGCCAAAGAGATTGCCCGTCTCCAATCGAGCCGCCACATCCTCCGCACTCTCCTCTTGGAGAACCGCATAACCACCACCAAGATGCGGAATCGCATCGTCATGCCACCACTGGTACTTCATCGTCAGAATATCATCCACAATATTGCGGTAGCGAGCACCACCGCGACGTTCAACAAATGTACCGTCCTTCACCATTGCCGCCTTATTCTCTTGCGCTCGAATACCCTTCTGGTCGCCAAGGCCTTGGACGACAGCGCCTCGAGCCAGGTGAATCGCCATCATCGAGTCTTCGAATCAATCCATATCCTGGATGATGCGTTCGCTTGGCGGTGCACCTTGGAGGACACGATGGTACGCTTCCTGCCCACGCTTTGGTGTCGAGATGGTGAACTTGGTTGGGTCGTCATCATCCAAATGGCTCGTAATGATGATATGACGATTCACTGAATCATTCACGTCCTTGTTGAGAGACGTATCCCAAGCGTTGGCCTCTGGACTGTTGCCTGACGGGAACTTGTCGAGACGATTGCTGGTGAGGTTCAATCCAACAGGAAGAAGCCAGTGCGCAAGGTAGCCGTGTTCGTCCATCCACTCGTAGCATTCTTTGGACGTCATCTGGGAAAGCGCATCGTGATAGAAGTACCAGCCGTGAAAGTTTGGTCGGTGCTTGTGAAAGAAGCGCTTGGATTCCTTGTACATGTGCTTGACGACCTCTGTGACACATCCCGTCGAATTCAGAGTAGTGGATCGTTGAATGAAGTCTCGCCAATCCTCACCATAACGGGACTTGTAGGGATTTGCACGCTTGCGGTAGTCAGTTGTGTGTGGGACCACATTCGAAGCCTTCCGACATGCGGCACGCCAACCTTTGAGAGTCTTGAGATTTCTCGAAACAAACGGGATCATAACTTGTCGCTGAGGTAGTTCCTCTGGAGGATCCGTCAGCGCTGCTTCACGAAGCCGGTCAGGAACCTCAACATTATGTCCCATGCGAAGTAACAGTTGTGTAGCCCAACCATGACGACGAAGTGCCCAAGGGGAGTTGACGTCCCTGTTGCCTTGCTTCCGCTTGTGAATTGGCACCACCCTGTGCTTGAGTCGTTTCTTCAAGCCATCGACGGCAGACCTGGAATAAGGGACCAAGCCTCTTTCAATTCGAAGACGATTCAGATGTTGCATCGCCATTGTCACGCTCATGCTCTTCCGTTCAATGCAGTTGGCAATGAAGACGGCATCAAACGAGTTGTTGGGGATGATGACGGGCTTGAGTCCAGCATGAACCCGCTGGCCAGTGTACACAATGTGTTGCTCGCAGCAGTGATGCAAATCTGTGAAGACGTCAACATACTTGGTCCGGTTGCTTTCTTCGTACAAGTCTCTGCAGATCTTGACTTGCGTGCCGTTGATGCCAATCCATGGAGTGTCTTTCGTGTCCTCGTGGAATGCATACTTGTAAGCATAAAGATATGCAATAGCCATCTTCTTCGCTCTCTCCTCTGGCAATATCTGCGCCAAAGCAGCTTTGACCTTCTGCTCATCCGGAATGTAATCCATGTCATCGTCATGTTGATCAGGATCCGAGTCGTCTTCTTCCATTGAGTCTTCGTCAGGCTTGAGGCGATCCGCCAATGACCGGAGGGGCTCCTCCTCATCCGAGGAAACATCTGCAAGACGAGCATGATGAGAACGACGGGTTGGACTCATCCCCAAAGCTTCAGCCACTTCACTCGCACGCTTGACACGCTTTGCTATTGCTTCATCATGAGGAGTCGGAGGAGTGACAGTCTGTTGAGCCGGCTTCTTCCTCTTCTTCTTCTTGGCACTCAATCTCCTGCCCTTGCGGCGCTTTGGGGCAACCGGATTGGGATTCGGCATGGTGGAATGATCAGTCAACCAAGGATGGAGCGTGAAGAATTCCAAAGAATTCAACGACGGAGTCAGCAAGGGTGAACGAAGAATCCGGCAAGGAAAAGGAGCGCGGAGAAGAGAGCTTGGATCGACTGGACGTTGGCTCGGTGGATGGACGGAGGGAGCGTGGATCGGAAGGAACCTTGTAAGATGACGTGACAGCACAAGCAGCGGTAGCAAGGAGTAGAAGAACAACCAAAGGACGACGGCAGATCCCCATGGCCGATCCCTCGATCGACCAGAAGAAAGATAATGAAGAAGACCACCATTTCGATTGAAGATTCCTGCAGAGGTTTGCTGTTTCGAAAATAATGAGATGGTTTCCTTCGAGGAATGAAGAATGCAGAGGCCATCCGACTGATCGACCGCGATCTTTGTCAGTTGAATTGCCGATACTCAAGCAATCAACATGGTCGCTGAATCGGATGCCCATGATCCCAAATATCGATCCCATCTCGCAAAGAGGCAATCCGATGACAACGCACATGCCTCATGGTCGCGAAATGAAACTGATTCGGAAGGAGTTGGTGTCACTCTTGTGTGTTGTGAGAGGAGTGACGGAAGGTGTCAACAAGAAGAACATGTTGACTGATCGTGCACACATGAACGAAAATAGATGCCCATGGTGGGATGCGATTTACTTTGGATGCAACGGCTAAATCCAAAACTCAAAAGACTTTCTGTGACTGGAGAGCCGGCCATCTAGTTTAAAACTAAGCCTCACATTTTGCGCTCACATTTTCGAAATCCCATGAAAATCAGCGATTTCAGTCAATCCAATCGTCTGTGCAAACTCTGTGAGATGAGGAAGTCATCAATCCAGCAAAAACGTTTCGTCAGTCTACAGGTAATACCTATGTGCATAGACTGACGAAACGTTTTTGCCCATTTGGAGCTTCCACTTTCTCATAAACGTTGTACAATATTGGATTCCGGACTGAAGCATCAGTACGGTACCCCGGGGACTGGAGACGGTCGGCTCAGTAAATGGCCGAGTCTCTCCACTCACCTAATCCTCTACTAGTCGTGTCTAGCTGCTCTGGGCGAGCGCAGCTTGTCTGCGCTCGGAAGAGGTACCCAGAGAACGGTGACGGGAAACGCTACGTGGAAGAAATTGGTAAATATCCAATGTTGAAATGGTTGATCACCAATGCCCGAGCAGCTGTGGTCACCCTTGATGCGGTCAACAACCTTAAAAAGGGCCACCCCATCATCAAATTGCAAGGATGTATTGGTGCTGTGATTCAAATTGTCATCGGGAGGTACGCTGCTTTTAATGGGATTGGCAAGCTATTGGAACGGCAGCGGAAAGCGTTGGCCTATGCAGTTTTCATGAACTCGACCAGGACAACAGAACCGATAATCCTTGGTTTCCCGAATTCGGCACACTCTTGTCACTAGAAGAAGGAGAACGAGTCAAGGTCAAGAGACAGGCTCAAGGCGTGATGGACTTGCATGTGGAAGCATCCTCTGCCGAGGATGGGCGTGTCTCAACCGATTTTGTGGACGACGAAGCCAAGAAGACCAAAAGATCCGTTTCCATTACGCCAGCAATGAGTATGTTACTATACAACCTGCTGGGGGTTGATGCGACCATTTATGACAATTGGGATGGACTTGAGGTTACCACAGCGCTACATGCTGTGTATCTGGAGACACTGAGCAACTCCACTACCCAAGAAAAGGGTGTGTGTCTCGCCCGCTTGACAAAAGCGGTGCCGCCACCAAAAGCGACGAAGCGAATTCACATCCCTTCTCAAGCTGACACTCCTACCATATTTATAAATGGAGAAAAAGCGCCTTTTTGCGATGTCATCACCAATTTCCGAGGCCTTCAGGCGAAGCACACGAAGAATGGAGAAGAATATGATCTCTTCCTCGGTGAGGAATTGCAGAAATGGGGTCTCCTGAAGACGGAGCTATCAGAGGTCATGCTGAGTGGGCAAAGCGTTGATCCACCAGCTGATGATGCAACTGATGATGAGCAAAGCATGGAAGCTTCAGCTGATGATGATTGTGAAGAAGAAGTCGAAAATGAAGTCTCGGAAGCTGCAGCTACTGCAAAAGACAATGGCGCAGGCGCTGGTAGCTCAAGCACGCAGGCGAATACCGACAAAGACAAGGGAAGAAGAAGGAAAAGAGCCAGAAGGCATTCAGAATGGGCAACGCAACGATGGGTGCTTTTTTGCACACTTGGAAGAATGCCATTACAGCGACCTCCGAAGATGCGAATGCAGAAGAGAGCAACCCGATCGCCCCGCGGTTTCTGAGCCCTGTTTTTGCTTTCCTACAAGCGGCAGAGCCGATACGGAAGTTGTTCCTTCTTTCCGCTTCACAGTGGCACCGGATGATACTGTCAGGTTTAATTAAAAAAAGATACCCCCTGTGGAATTTGATGGAGACTCTCCATTCGACATGATCTTTGATACAAACGCAAAGCAAATGCAGTTGCTTCCGAAACCCAATGGGCCAAGTATTGTAATTGGCGCTGCGGATGTTGACGTAGATGGCGCGCTCGCATCCAAACCCGACGGGTATGAAGAATACTTGGGGCTTCTCCAGGCAAAGGAGAATGATAATATCCGATTTGTGTTCACCGGCCATAACTGATGGGAATGTTGGCGCTGTCGGGGGTCGGTGGTCGGCGGATTGGTATTTCCCGGATGGGATCGAATTACTGTGTGCTGGCAGGTCACTATTTTTCATTTGCCTGAATCGTGGATACGTAGCGTCACGAATACGAGTGGAGTATCAGCAAATGAGGCATTTGATGTCAAATTGACATTTTGATGTCAATCCATGGAAGCAAGACTCAATTTTGATTGGTTTTGACATTTTTTGATTTTTTGACAGTCAAAACGGTTCAACACCTGTCAACATCAAAATTGACAAATTGGCGCAAATCAGCAAAATCAAAGTAAATCAGCATCAGTCAACACTGTCAATTCCTTTTTTGATTTTTTGAGGATATTTTTGACTCAACACGGATCAAGGTTGATCAAAATTGATCAAAATTGACAAATTGATGTTCTGATTTGAGTCCCCATCCTCATCTTAGCAAAACCACAACCAACCACGGCAACAATGTGCAAGAAGGACACACTACGACGTACCAGTCCAGAAGAAGAGCGAAGGGGTGTAGCTACCGGTAGCTAGTAGAGCCTTATGTGGCGAAGAAGTACATGTAGTGTGCATTGTCAACTTCTCCTGAGCTGGGCAAAGCGCCTCCTCGAAGCACTTTGAGAACTGCTCCGTTACTATCAAGATCGATGAAAGCAGTGTGGAAATCGATATTCATGATGAAGACGTCGGATAATAGCTCTTCTTTACTTTGGTACTCCAGAGACATCCTTGCGACGCCACAGTGTACCGATTCGTGCCTCGTAGAGTACCGATTCGTGCCTCGTAGATTGTCGAGTCCAAAGGACGCCGAAAAGGCGATCAAAGGCGATCCTAGCGTCATGGTCGCTTTGACCATGAACATCGGCTTAGTTGTCGGCGGCCAATCAAACAATCGTACGAATTTCTTTGGTAGGCGCTGTGGCAGAGTTGTTGTTGATTTACTTGTGCAATAATTGGTTGCAATCGCTCCGTGAGCGATTGTGTATTGACCGTCCCTGATAGTCACAAAAGTTTTAGGAGGAGGTGTCCAACGATCGCTCTGCGGGAGTCATCGACCGAATCGATCCGTCGTTCGAGCCGCTGCGGCTGCTTCTAACCCAACAGGAGGAGCCTGTCATGGTGGTGATATGGTAGCAGTCAATGAGAGAGGAGTAGCCACTGTGAGAGTGAGAGTTACTAGTGCATCAGCAGCTTTGACAGGGCATCAAATGGTCCTGTCAAAACTGTCAAGAAAACATCAAAATTGATTCAAAGAAAACGATCAACATCCAATTGAGGATTTTTTTGAGTCAATCAGAGTCAATCAAAGTCAAAATTGATCAATGTTGATCAGTTTGATATTTTAATGTCAACACTGACAAATTGATTCTTGTTGACATCAATTGATCAAATTGATCAACATTGACAAATTGACGGTTTTAAGTCTTGTCAAAAGTTTCAGTAACCATCAATTGACAATATTGATATCAAAATGTCAATTTGACATCAAATGCCTCATTTCCCGATACTCGAGTCGAGTCTGGTCACCTTTATGACATAATATTATGTGCATGTGTGTCTCGTCTGAGACATGGATACCGGTACCGCTACTGGTGGGGACCAGTACCGACACCGGTACCAAACCTCTCCAGTAGTACCGTAGTCCCTATGTGCTCTCTACGTTTCCTCCTCTCTTAAGTTTCCTCCTACAAGCTAGCTAGCGAGTGCCAGTAGGTACATTGATTCGATTCATAATTCTTTCTATTAGCAATGCATCTATAAAGTAAATGGCATGACATCCTCCTCCAATACTGATTCCCTGGGAATTGCTGCAACACACACTCCTTCTAGCCAACCAACCATGCAGCCAGCCATCAATACAATGTGGAGCAACTCGCCAGCAAACCAACCAATCATCAAACCAACCGATCCTCATTGCGCATCTTGATTGATGCCCATCTTGATGTTCTCCTCCTTCCTTCCATCGTTCATTCCTTCTTCATTCGTCTCCATGGATGCATTCATCTAAGTACAAGTAGCCTCCGAACAATCCGCATCAGCTGCGCATTCGTCATCCGTGCAATCACAGGCTGTATCAGCACAAGTCCCCCATTCAATCCATTGGTCCTCAGTCCAGGCATCGATCTCCTCATCAGTAGCGTCACCCCAACAAGTATCAAAGCAGTCCGATTCGTCGTCATCATCACCACTATCTCCACTATCTCCACTGTCTCCGCCTTCACCACCTTCATCTCCACCATCTCCACTTTCTCCACTTTCATCAAGTTTGCGAATCTCCTGAAATATTCATGCACGCATGTGTGTGAGTGGATGAACAAATAGTACAAAGGACGCACAACCAGCCAACCAAGGCAGTAAGACAAAAGAAGGCAACAACTACTACAGCAGGGGACTTACATGCTTGGGCTGGTGGGAAGCAGGGGTACGAAGCACCTGAAACATTCATGTATATGCATGTATGTATGTATGCATGTATGTATGTATGTATGTATGTATGTATGTGAGTGGATGGATGAGTTACAAAGGACACCAACCAAGCAAGTAAGACAAGCAAAGAAGCAACAACAGCAATGGACTTACACGACCGGGTTCATCCTGGTGGGAAGCAGCAGACGCCATGGCAATCAAGACTGCAAGGAGCATGGAGAGGAACAAAATGCGCATCATTTTGGATTGTTTGTTGCTTGGAGTTATTACTTGACTTGACTTTTGGCTGGCTGCTTTGGAGCTGCTGGAAGTTAAAATTGTGAGACTGTACGGTTGCCATTTCCGGGGGCGGCCCTCAATCTTTGCCGGGTACTACGAATAGCGTCCTTACGGCACGGGTTGTTCAAAGTTTGCCGGACACTATCTGTTTGCCGGAGTCCGTTATTTATAGACTTAGAGTTTTAGACTCGCCAGATCTACTTACCAGGAACCACAACAGATCTCGCGGATCGCGGATCTGCTAAAACAAACTTGGGGAAGCAACAGATGGCGCGGAAGACCTCCACCCCCAAACCCGATCCGTCCATTGGAGACACATATATATAAGGGGGGTTTAGAGTAGGGAAATTATCTACGGAAGCCAGCCGGGGCCAGGCTTAAGCAAAGAACAGTCGAAATTCAGGACTAGGTTCTGTGGGATCAGGGGCAAGAAATTGAGGACCATTACGGGGGGCAAATTCGTTATTGTGAAGATTTCCCCACTCCCCAAACCCGCCCGCCCTCAGATATCCTCGAGGATAGCGGTACATTACAGAGAGTGGAGGATGTTATACGAGAACCACACCAGCTAGCTAGACCTATCATTATCATTCTCTCTGTCCCTCGCTGATTGGGCCACAACGGTTTGCCATTACAAGTCATCAATCGTTCGATGATCGATGCCAAAGCTCACGGTAATAGTACGCCAACCGTTGTGGCCCAATCAGCGAGGGACAGAGAGAATGATAATGATAGGTCTAGCTAGCTGGTGTGGTTCTCGTATAACATCCTCCACTCTCTGTAATGTACCGCTATCCTCGAGGATATCTGAGGGCGGGCGGGTTTGGGGAGTGGGGAAATCTTCACAATAACGAATTTGCCCCCCGTAATGGTCCTCAATTTCTTGCCCCTGATCCCACAGAACCTAGACTGTCCTGAATTTCGACTGTTCTTTGCTTAAGCCTGGCCCGGCTGGCTTCCGTAGATAATTCCCTACTCTAACCCCCCTTATATATATGTGTCTCCAATGGACGGATCGGGTTTGGGGGTGGAGGTCTTCCGCGCCATCTGTTGCTTCCCCAAGTTTGTTTTAGCAGATCCGCGATCCGCGAGATCTGTTGTGGTTCCTGGTAAGTAGATCTGGCGAGTCTAAAACTCTAAGTCTATAAATAACGGACTCCGGCAAACAGATAGTGTCCGGCAAACTTTGAACAACCCGTGCCGTAAGGACGCTATTCGTAGTACCCGGCAAAGATTGAGGGCCGCCCCCGGAAATGGCAACCGTACAGTCTCACAATTTTAACTTCCAGCAGCTCCAAAGCAGCCAGCCAAAAGTCAAGTCAAGTAATAACTCCAAGCAACAAACAATCCAAAATGATGCGCATTTTGTTCCTCTCCATGCTCCTTGCAGTCTTGATTGCCATGGCGTCTGCTGCTTCCCACCAGGATGAACCCGGTCGTGTAAGTCCATTGCTGTTGTTGCTTCTTTGCTTGTCTTACTTGCTTGGTTGGTGTCCTTTGTAACTCATCCATCACTCACTCACATACATACATACATATACATACATACATACATGACATACATACATACATGCATATACATGAATGTTTCAGGTGCTTCGTACCCCTGCTTCCCACCAGCCCAAGCATGTAAGTCCCCTGCTGTAGTAGTTGTTGCCTTCTTTTGTCTTACTGCCTTGGTTGGCTGGTTGTGCGTCCTTTGTACTATTTGTTCATCCACTCACACACATGCGTGCATGAATATTTCAGGAGATTCGCAAACTTGATGAAAGTGGAGAAAGTGGAGATGGTGGAGATGAAGGTGGTGAAGGCGGAGACAGTGGAGATAGTGGAGATAGTGGTGATGATGACGACGAATCGGACTGCTTTGATACTTGTTGGGGTGACGCTACTGATGAGGAGATCGATGCCTGGACTGAGGACCAATGGATTGAATGGGGGACTTGTGCTGATACAGCCTGTGATTGCACGGATGACGAATGCGCAGCTGATGCGGATTGTTCGGAGGCTACTTGTACTTAGATGAATGCATCCATGGAGACGAATGAAGAAGGAATGAACGATGGAAGGAAGGAGGAGAACATCAAGATGGGCATCAATCAAGATGCGCAATGAGGATCGGTTGGTTTGATGATTGGTTGGTTTGCTGGCGAGTTGCTCCACATTGTATTGATGGCTGGCTGCATGGTTGGTTGGCTAGAAGGAGTGTGTGTTGCAGCAATTCCCAGGGAATCAGTATTGGAGGAGGATGTCATGCCATTTACTTTATAGATGCATTGCTAATAGAAAGAATTATGAATCGAATCAATGTACCTACTGGCACTCGCTAGCTAGCTTGTAGGAGGAAACTTAAGAGAGGAGGAAACGTAGAGAGCACATAGGGACTACGGTACTACTGGAGAGGTTTGGTACCGGTGTCGGTACTGGTCCCCACCAGTAGCGGTACCGGTATCCATGTCTCAGACGAGACACACATGCACATAATATTATGTCATAAAGGTGACCAGACTCGACTCGAGTATCGGGAAATGAGGCATTTGATGTCAAATTGACATTTTGATATCAATATTGTCAATTGATGGTTACTGAAACTTTTGACAAGACTTAAAACCGTCAATTTGTCAATGTTGATCAATTTGATCAATTGATGTTCAACAAGAATCAATTTGTCAGTGTTGACATTAAAATATCAAACTGATCAACATTGATCAATTTTGACTTTGATTGACTCTGATTGACTCAAAAAAATCCTCAATTGGATGTTGATCGTTTTCTTTGAATCAATTTTGATGTTTTCTTGACAGTTTTGACAGGACCATTTGATGCCCTGTCAAAGCTGCTGATGCACTAGTAACTCTCACTCTCACAGTGGCTACTCCTCTCTCATTGACTGCTACCATATCACCACCATGACAGGCTCCTCTTGCTTGCGTTAAGATCCTCTCTTTCTTTTC